TATATATGAAGAGTTCAGATGCAAAAGCCTCTAAGTGCCATTTGAAATTTTCTTCTAGAATGATGATTTTTATCAAGCTTGTATATTTAAGTTCAGTAATTTCACTTAAATTGCAATGATAATTACCTATTAATTGTTATTTAAGTGAAATTACTGAACATAAATATACAAGTTTGAAAAAAAAATCATCATTAAAGAAGAAAATTTCAAATGGCATTTAGAGGCTTTTGCATCTGAACTCTTCATATATATATATATATATATATATATATATATATTATTTTTTTACTTTATACACGTTTGTTTTACACAATAGCATTGAACTGAATGGGTACTATATAGGGCTGGGTAATAAATATCGATTTCTCGATATTAATCGATTCTCATTTTTACGAACCGATATCGATTCTTAAATCTCAAGAATCGATTAGTCATCCTGTTTTATTTGAATGAATGGCTTGTTACTATTGATATGAAACAAAGTCTCAATTTTCAAATTACGTCCATTTTCTTTAGAAATTCAAAAACATGAATAAGGTTTTGGCGCTGTGGCGTGAGATCGCTCTGACGCAGCTCTAGAGCAGCAGCGCTGATCTCACTTCTCTTCCGGCTTAATAATACCGCGAAATAAACATGAATGAGCATCTGAAAGTGAGTACAACTTATCAAAATCCGTATCATGTCACATTGATTCGCTCAATCAGCGTTTCAACCGTGGAAAGACGTCAGTTAAACAGCTTGTTATCAATGTCATCGTCATATTTACCTCAGAAAACCCACATAAACTCGTTAGTACACACTCGTTAGTGTTCTTCAATATTTAATGCATATTTGAATAAATCTGACAAGTTTTTATGACAGCCACCATTTAAATGTTTATATTTCATATAATCTTCTTATTATAAAAATAAATAAAAGTGTAATTTAAGTGTTTATATAGCTACAAAACAGTTCATTATTACCTTCATATTAGGGTAATGAAGCCTATAGGCTACAACTAGACTCCCATAGTTTACAGCATTAGTTCAGAGATTTGATTCCCTTGTGAAAAATGGCCATTTATTGTAACTGATATCCAAAATAATCAATATTGAATCGAATCGAATGGAATTGCAAGCTTGTGAATCGAATTGTGAAATTTGTGTCAATACCCAGCCCTACTACTATATATACAAACAGTGTTGGTATTGGTTTACGTTCTTGATCAAATCGAAAATAACTTTCTGTGTTCTGTGTGACTCTCCTGTTCGAACTCGTTAATAAAAATGAAAGAATCTTTTCCCGAGTCAACTCGTTCATTGAATGAACCAAATGACACGGAAAAAAGATTTGTTCATTTTGATAAACGAGATCGAACAGGAGAGTCACGAACGCGCATCACAGAACAGAGCAAGACGAGCATTTGAGCTTATAAAACTTAAACTTTGTTATTTATTTATTAAATGAGTGATCGTTTCGCTTGATAAGACCCTTATTCATCGTCTGGAATCGTTTAAAGCCCTTTGAACAGTTTGCACTGAAACTGTCTTTTGGACCTTGAACCGTTTGGTTCCCATTGAAGTCCATTATATGGAGAAAAATCCTGGAATGTTTTCATCAAAAACCTTAATTTCTTTTCGACTGAAGAAAGAAAGACACGGACATCTTGGATGACATGGGGGTGAGTAAATTATCAGCAAAAGTTGAACTACTCCTTTAACACTCAGGTCTGGGCTTTGTGAAGGCCGGTCCAGAACTTTAGATGTCACTGAATATTAAGTGTTCATCAAAACCCTTTCTGATTTGGGACCTGCACACTCATCAAACGCCAACTTTGACAGATTTAAAGAGATCTGTTTAACATCACTGAAGCACCAGAGCTCTGGCAAGACCTTTCCACATTATCCAAACCATGTGTTCCTCTAGTCTAATCACACAACCTCACCAATAAACCCTGGTGGAGCTCAATACATGAGGAACAGTGACACTAAACCACATCCTCACACACACACAGGTATTCATATCATTATGAGGACATTTCAGAAACTGGACTATATTTTTAACCATAACCATCACAGAACACATCCAAAGAAAACGTCCCAACAAGCTCAAAAATGACTGGTGTTAGCATGCTTATGGGGCATTTTGGGGACACACACACACACACACAGTACCTTGGCACTGGAAGCCTTGTTTTCCAAATCCCCTGTAGAGTTGAATTTGATAAGAGAAAGACAGAAAAAAAAGTGTTAGTCACAAAGCTGTAACATACTATAACTTGTTTTAAAACAACATGACATTTGTTGTATTGCCCTCCTCATCAAAAGTAGGATTTCTGAGGTGAAATGTGCGAGGTAAACACGGTAATCGTGAAAGGTTGAATAGTATTAAAGCGGGATTTAGTCATTGAATTGCCTGAAACATCTGTTCAGCAAATCCAGTTTGATGATGTCGATGCTTTACTGAATGCGATAATGGCTCATTATCATTAGTCGAAATGAAACATTACATTTATTTTTAATTAGAACTATTAGAGCAAATGCATGATCATAATCATAACACACTATTATAACAATTAAACAAAACAAATCATAGAAAAACTGCAAAATATCTCTTTTTACTTTACAGATTTGTCTCATGCAAACAAAATCTAGTCAATATAACTTACACATGAATTACATAGACATAAATAACCATAATTTCCAAGCTCAAACTGGTCATGCAAACACATTGTCATGCTCTTTTTTTTAATTATGCACCTCAAATTTCTATGAAAGGAAAAATAGTTAAGGTCTTGCTTACAATAAAATGCATGCCGAAATAAAAAGTAAGAAATCCTAGACAGCTGTCAACTCACTCATTTAAAAGTGATTAGCGAAAGTTTGCAGTGTGTGTGTGTGAGTCGAGAGAGTGTGTTACCAGATGAAGTCGGTGCAGTGGCTGCAGAATGTGGGTTGCTTGAAGAAGCGCGCGGTGAATTTGTGGTTTTTAACTTCGTGCACGTTCTTCTGTCGCAGAGCTCCTTTGCGCGCGAATCGATTGACGATGGTGGAGTCATTGATCTGTATCAGATGATCAGCCATCGCTATTCCTCAGGTGTGTGTGTGTGTGTCCTCTACTGTACGCGTCTCTCCTGTTACCGCGCGCCTCTCTCTCACTGACGCTGACGTCAACGCTCTCCATCTATTCCTCACGCGACGCGACGCGAGGGTGTGCAGCGTCATCACGCGGAGGAAAACAGGAACAACACACTAGTCTTCAAAAGCCTGTTTGTGGTTGTATAATGGATATTTAGAAACATAGATGTGTGTGTCTCACACGATGACAAACACACTTTTATTTTGGTGTCAGTGGTCAGTTTACTGGGGTTTGAAGCATGAATGAAATGTTTTGTGTAGAGTTGTTCCAGTCGTGACACTTGAGCTTAGTAAGACTGTTTAGATAAACGTGCCGAAGCAACTGAGGAAATTGTAATACATAAAATAGCTACACATTGATTTCAATAAATATGTTTCAACAATTTTTTTTGAATTACAAACTACAGTTTTTTTTATTCGCTTTACTATTTTTCAAGGTGTAACTCGTGCTAATATCACAACAGACCATCAAAAGTGCACTTTTTTCAAACATTTCATCATGTTTTCAATTACAAAATCACAAAGTATCCTTTTCACAACACAAAATAAGTGTTTCATCTACATTATTGTTTCCTTCACAGTAACTGCCTTTCATAAAGCTCTTACTATCAAACTTTTGATTTGATCTCTTTTTGTTCAGTTTAATACATTTACTGTAATCCAACTGATCTCAATGGTTAATCAATGAATCATTTGGTGCACCTATAGATTTCTATACAAATGAAACTCGAAAAATTAGAATATGGTGCAAAAGTTCATGTATTTCAGTAATTCAAATTAAAAGGTGAAACTATGATTAGACTTTTCAGAGGGCCGACATTTCTTTGTAGATCTACATTTTTTATTTTATTTTATTGATTTCATGTAATATTCTAATTTTCTGAGATTTTGAATTTGGGTTTTTCATAAGCTGTAAGCCATATCATCAAAATTATCACTTTTGCGCGATATTCAAATTTTTCGAGTTTCACCTGTAGATATTGATTCTATATTTCTATAGAACTTGTTTGCAATTTCCGATATGGATAACCATATTTAATGAATTATTGTTCATTACATTCTTATTCTTATTTTTATATTATATTTATAGATAATAACCACCACTATGTTCAAAGTGTGTGCACATGTGTGAGAGGAGTGTCATTTGTGAAAGCACTGTATTATAAGGGAGATAAGCGGTCGATGACTGTAAACATTAGATTGATTAGAGAGATGCATCAGTAGAAGGGAGATCGATGGCATCAAATACAGCTTTTTACATGACAGAGTAATTCAAATCCGAGAACTGAGCCAACAAGCGATTTTTGGTTGCTAGGAAACGGAAACGCGTCTCGCGAGAACCGGAATGAAGCCAGAAATAATAAGCTCCTAATATTAAGCTCCTTTCCGTCTTTATTGGGAGTAAAAGTCATCACATTAATAGTAATAAGTGCATTTTACCATGCCGTATAAAACATAAAGGCAACATAGAAACAACAGCTACATAAAGTTCACTCGATGTGAGTGACATTGCCTAGTTTTAAAGATGTATCATGCAAGCTGAGGTTAAAAGCATGTGACTATTGGGTTTAAAAATGTATAGAAAAAAAAGTAAAGATTACAACAGCTAGTTTTGATTCTCTTTTTGTTAGACAATTGTGAAAAGTTAGCGAGTTTGTTTTGATGTTGAGTATTTGCATCTCAACTTAAAATGAAAACAAACAAAAAAAATCACATAAAACAAAACTCAATAATTAGATATAACACAAATAACACAAAAAAACTACACGAAATGAATGAAAAAACACATAACGGGCACAACTCTGGTGTGGAAGCGAGACTTTTATTTTGAATTCTGAAAGACGGGTGGGATTTATATGTGACTTCACAGTCTATCAGTTTGAAACCGTTTGGGAGCGTAAACTAGCAACAAGTGGAGGACCGCACACAATCACATCTACAGACAACACCACAAGGATATCATATTAATATCATTATCATTCATTATGATTTAGCTCTAAACGAGTACTTACCTCAGACACATACATTATTAGCACTTTATGTAGCATATCACAGAAGAAGTTAAAACTGGAGTAGCACTTCTCCATATTTGTGATTTGTGAATGAGTGTAGCGAACTGGTGAGCTAATGTACACTAACTACATTACGTGACGATTACTAATTATGTATTCATAATAATTTTATAAGCTTGTCACTTGACTTATTTTCTATAGGCTGACAAATCATGACGTCTGTCAGCTGTGGCTGTCGCCTATGTTGTTGTGTTACTATTATGTTGTTTAACTCTGTAAACTGAATGTTTAAATAAAGACTTAAATATATGTATTAATAATTGTGTATATTATATTTGCTGAATATGTATTAAAGTATACAGTATGTAAAAATATATTTTGTTGTGTACAGGAGCGACATGAGTGATCAGGATTCATTTGGGATTCTGGACTCTGAGTTTGATCATTATCTGGTCGATATGAAACCATATGTGCTGAAGTTACCACACAAGACAGGTGAGAATACACTACATGTTTAAAGTGTGTGTGTGACCACTCATGTCATAGTATTACTGACAAAGTTATTAAACAAAGTTATTAATTTAGTTCATTAATATAGAGCTATTCTGGAGAAAACCGTGATGTCATCGTCCGGCTCAATTCAGTTCTTAATGTTTTTGGAAGAAGTCTCTTCTGCTCACTGAGGCTGCATGTATTTGATTAAAACATGAAAAAAAATGTAATATTGTGAAATATTATTACAATTTAAAATAATGTTTTTCTATTTTATTATACTTTAAAATGTAATTTATTCCTGCGATCAAAGCTGTATTTTCCTCATCATTATTATTTTTGTGTATTTGTGATCAAATAAATGCTGCCTTGGTGAGCAGAAGAGAATTCTTTTAAAAGCATAAACAATCTCACTGATCTCAAACGTTTGAACGGCAGTGTCCATCATCTTGCTCATCTTTCACACGTCCTCATGTGTCCATCAGAGCGTCAGCGGAGCGCGTTGTGGATTAAGAAGCTGTGTGATCCGGTGGCTTGTGGATCAGGACTGACGGGAAGGAAGAACCGTAACATGTACGCTCGACTCCTTCTGCACATGCTCAGAAGAGGAGTTTTAGAAGGTCCCTTCACTCACAAACCTGAAGCAGGCAGACTCAAGACTTTACCCACATACATGGTAAGCGCACCACTGAAATTGAGCTTTATCTTGACTTGAGTTTAAACGGAGAGTTCACCCAAAAATTTAAATTAGCCCATGATTTACTCGCCCTCAAGTCATGCTAGTTGTATATGACATATATATCAGAGTTATATTAAATAATGTCCTGGCTCTTCCAAGCTTTATAATGACAGTGAATGGCTGTTTCTGTTTCGAAGTCCATCAAAGTGCATCTCTCCATCATAAAAGTGCATCTATCCATGATAAAAGTGCATCTATCCATCATAAAAGTGCATCTATCCATCATAAAAGTGCTTCTCTCCATGATTAAAGTTCATTGAGAGCTATAATCAGTGGTGATGTTACAGCTTTGTTTTCCTGTTTTCAGTCCATCTATTTCGACGAGCCGCTGTTGGGAAGCTCGGATCGGGATCAGAGGTCTTCAGCGCTGCCGGATTGGGTGTGTGGGGAGTTGGGTCAGACTGACGGCTCATGGGCCACATCCCCCCTCTCAAACACACACAGGTATCAGTCTGCACACAGCACTCCTGATATGATTGATTATGAGCATGATTGTGAGTTTCCCAAGCAGTGGATGGAGGAATAATCTATCAAAGACATACTGAAAATCAAATGAAAAGAGAGATGTCGATTGTAGAAAACTACACCTTTTTTAGGACCACAGGCCTTTGATTCACAAGGCAGAGTTATTATGCGAATAATTATAAAATAGGCAAATATGTGTTTAATTTGAAAATGAAAATTCTCAAAATTCCATCATAAGCAGTTGCAGCAAATCTTTAATTAAAATAATAAACAAACATTTGGTTTAGATTGAAGATTAAACTGGTCCTTCAGTCCTTAGAGCAAGCCTGGACCATTAGAGAACCGTTCAGAAGAGTGTGTGTGTGTGTGTGTGTGTGTGTCGCTCTCATTCAGATCAGATTAAAGCTTTGAGCTCTTCTCTGATGTGGTTGTGTTAGCTTTCCCTCAGTCAGGTGATCATGATATAACACTTTTGTGCTTTTAAAGGGAGTTTTCTCTTTCTTCTGTGACTTTAGTCCATTGCTATTGACATTATTTGAAGTTTTTATGTTTTTGGATACAATCGTTGTCTAAATATAACACAATTTAGTTTTTTTTTTTGCTACAAGTCATAAAGTTTGATGCTTTATGCTTTTTAGACACTTTATTTCTCACTGTATGTGGACTTTTCAGATGGTTGATGTAAAAGTAAATGTGTAAATGTTTAATCTAGAGCCCGACCGATAAAGGATTTTGAAGGCCGATACCGATACAAATATTCGTTGGTTTCAAAATCTGATATATCGCGCAACAAAACATTAACAGATTTCCCTAACATTAGTTGTTAGTTAATAATGAGTTTTAACTAAAATAATATGATAATGCATTTTAAAAAGAAACTTGTTTCTTTTATTCTCACAACAGAACAGCTTTGTGGTTAGCTAGTCTATAATGAGCCATAATTTAGCAATGGATAACGTCATACTGCAAATTGTAAACCATACATTTTCAAAATAACAGGCCAAAGAGAGATGATACGTCTCATTGCTATAACTGTCATGCGCTATTAAAGAAATACTTCAGTCACATTGTCAAAAGTTTAAAGGACAGTCAGTTAACTACACCCTAACAACGTAATGTAACTATTACTAGCTAATTCCGCTTCGCTCTCGGCTTATTTAACAGCAGCAAAACTGGACATGATAGTCACAAATTTTGTCATGCTTATTTGAGTTAAGAGAACTGATTGGGATGTTAGCATATTGTGATAAGTTCATTATTTTCCATAATGGAATGATAAAAATTAAACTTTCATATATTTTAGATTCATTGTACACCAACTGAAATATTTCAGGTCTTTTATTGTTTTAACACTGTTGATTTTGGCATACAGCTCATGAAAACCCAAAATTCTTGTCTAAAAAAATTACCATATCATGAAAAGGTTCTCTAAACAAGCTATTAACCTAATCATCTGAATCAACTAATTAACTCTAAACACCTGCAAAAGATTCCTGAGGCTTTTAAAAAAAACAGTGTTTCATTACTCAAAACCGCAATCATGGGTAAGACTGTCGACCTGAGAAGGCCATCATTGACACCCTCAAGCAAGAGGGGAAGTTTCTGAACAAATAGGCTGTTCCCAGAGTGCTGTATCAAGGCACCTCAGGCCCTGTTTATACGAGAACGCTCGCGGGTGAAAACGTAAAAATATTTTATGGGATGTGCCTTTCGTTTACACGGCGACGGCGTTTTTGAGGCTTAAAAACGCAAAAAAGTGAAACCACCCTCCAAAGTGGAAATCTTAAAAACACTCCACCGCCGCGTTCCCGTGTAAACGGTAAAAACGCAAAAGTCTGCTTGACGGTGAAGGTTGTACGCAGGCGCGTGGACTTGGTGTTGTTGTAGTGTGCACTCCTAGCCGCCTGAAGTGCATACTACATTGAATTTCACACACTTTTGCGTCTCCATTTGCGCGCGGATTTCCCACACAAAACGCTCATCTAAACGCAGAATAAAAAGTGACGACGCAACGCCACTTTTGCGTTTTCTCTTCAGAATCGTTTCCGTGTAAACATAGCCTCAGTGGGAAGTCTGTGGGAAGGAATAAGTGTGGCAAAAAACGCTGCACAATGAGAAGAGGTGCCTGGACCCTGAGGAAGATTGTGGACGAGTGTTGCCAACAGGGACGGTGTAGAGTGCCCTCTGGTGGACAAACTATACAACTCCAACACTCATGACATGGTTGAAGTGTGTTTCGTCCGTTTTTATTTTATTTTTGAAATATTCATTTATCGGGCAAAATAACTGTCGATACCGATAGTATGGAAAATGCCTAATATGGGCCGATAATATCGGTCTGCCGATAAATCGGTCTGGCTCTAGTTAAATCGTGTGACTATAACATTAACAAGAACATGTCTCGCCCTAAAACCAAAAGAAAGGAAATGAAACAAAAGGAATTTTCCCTTTTTAAGGATCAGTACAAGACACTTACAGGTGAAATCTTTTCACAAATCCCCATTACAGTAGCATTAACATGCGTCAAAGTTTATGCTTTTGTTCCTTCTGAAGGGCCTTACAGAGGGGGTTGTTAAGTCATTTGCATGATTGATAAAACATTTCATGACAGTATATGTGATAAAAAGACACATCAAATAAAAACCTTTAGCTGTAATATGTCAGTAGGATTAAATGTACGCTAATCTGTCATGAATCTTAAGGAGAACAGGAAGCAAATGCAGTTAATAAATCCTTTAATCAGGAAGTATAATACAGGACAATGACACGGGTGTGGACAGATAACGCAGGGACTTCGATGGTCAGAGTGCGGTGAATCCTCGTGAAGTGAAGAGTGAAGACGAGACGAAACAATCCAACACCGAGACGACAAATCCACAGGAACACGGAGATCAGGAAAACCAGGAACGAAACACAACACCAACACCCAGGACATCAAACAACGATCTGGCAAGGAAGTGAGAATGAGGTGAGTATTTAAGCAGTGTGGGGATGAGCTGCAGCTGGTGTTGATTAATGATGATCAGCTGGAGCGGATTAAGGAATGACAACATTCACGCCCACAGTACATGTGCTTTCATACCACAACACAAGCACGAGACAAGAAGGAAACATTGGATCTGTATACCGTGACAGTACCCCTCTCCTAAGAACGCCTCCTGGCGTTCTCAGAACTCCTTACCTGTCGATTGTAGTCATCGATCAAGGAGTGATCCAGAATGTCTCTGGCAGGTACCCAACTTCTCTCCTCCGGACCGTAACCTTCCCAGTCCACCAAGTACTGGAATCCGCGCCCCCTCCGCCTGGAATCCAGAATCCGATTTACCGAATAGGTGGTATCCCCATCTACGAGACGCGGCGGGGGGGAACCGGGACTGGCGGATTAAAGTGAGAACGAAACACGGGCTTAATTTTGGAAACGTGGAATACGGGGTGAATTCTCCTGTACGCAGGAGGTAGATTAAGGCGGACTGCCACCGGACTAATGGATTTGGTGACAGTAAACGGGCCAATGAATTTGGGAGCGAGCTTATTCGAGACGGAGCGGAGAGGAATGTTCTTGGTAGAAAGCCACACTTTTTGACCGACGACGTATACGGGAGGCTTCGACCGGTGGCGATCGGCTTTAGCCTTGGTGCGCGCCCCCACTTGGAGTAAAGTCTCACGGGCTCTAGTCCAAGTGCGGTGACACCTCTGGATAAAGGCGTGAGCAGAGGGGACCGCGACTTCAGATTCCAGACTGGGAAAAATAGGTGGCTGGTATCCTACACTACACTCAAACGGAGATAGGCCCGTGGACGACACTGGTAAGGTATTGTGGGCGTACTCCACCATGGAAAGATGCTGGCTCCATGAGGAAGGATTCTTGGATACCAAACATCGTAACACTCTCTCCAAATCTTGGTTGGCTCTCTCGGTCTGGCCATTGCTCTGAGGGTGAAACCCTGAAGACAGACTAACTGTCGCCCCCAGTAATTTACAAAATTCTCTCCAAAATTTGGATACAAATTGGGGACCTCTGTCAGAGACCACGTCCTTCGGGAGGCCATGTAAGCGAAAGACGTGGTCAACGACTGTCAACGCTGTCTCCTTAGCTGAGGGTAATTTGGGTAAGGGAATAAAGTGAGCCGCCTTAGAGAACCGGTCCACCACTGTCAAAACTACAGTGTTACCCTGAGAGGGTGGGAGGGCGGTGATAAAATCTAGAGCGATATGGGACCAGGGTCTCGAAGGGACTGGCAGCGGTTGGAGGAGCCCATCAGGGGGTCGATTGGAAGTCTTACCAGTAGCACAGACCGAGCAAGCCAAAACAAAACTGTGAATGTCACGAGCCATACGTGGCCACCAGAATCGTTGCTTAACTAAAAAGTTAGTACGATTAACTCCTGGATGACAAGCTATGTTGGAACAATGGCCCCATCGGATGACGTCTGATCTTAATCCCTCTGGCACAAATAAATGACTTGGTGGGCATGCGGGCGGAGGCGTTACCCCTTCTAAGGCCTTCTTGACCTTCGATTCGATCTCCCATACGAGTGTGGAAACAAATAGACTTTCCGGTAAAATGCACTCGGGAGTAGACGGGCGTTCGGAAAAATCAAAAATGCGAGATAATGAATCGGGTTTGATGTTTTTAGAACCCGGACGGTATGAGAGAGAAAAATCAAAACGACCGAAAAAGAGTGCCCACCGAGCCTGCCTAGAGTTGAGTCTTTTAGCGGTTCTGATGTACTCCAAATTCTTGTGGTCGGTCCAGACGATAAAGGGTACCCTCGATCCCTCTAACCAATGTCGCCATTCTTCCAACGCTAACTTGACTGCCAACAACTCTCTGTTACCAATGTCGTAATTACGTTCGGCTGGGGATAAACGATGGGAAAAAAACGCGCAAGGATGCATCTTGTCGTCTGTGGGAGAGCGCTGGGACAGAACTGCACCTACCCCCACCTCTGACGCATCGACCTCCACCACGAACTGCC